TATATATATATATATATATAAAAATAAATGTACATATATGGCATTGAAAGTAAAGAAATAACAGTATTTCCTCACAACTCTGTCCTCTCTGACGACTTTTTAATAATCTTAAGGATTAGTCCTCCCCCAGTCCTCCCCCAAAAGAGGGGTTCACTTTAGCAAATTATTATCAGATATTGAAATTATGAATTTGAAAGAATCTGTTTCACTTTCTCTTCCCTCTGTGTTGCTAAACAGTGCTGTAGAGTGCAAAAGCTTAGTTTATTCCCCTTCACAGGTTGATGATATTGTTCATGGGGTTGCTAGTTCTCTGCAACGCAGACCCTTTTTTTTTATCCAGAATGTTCACATTGAAATCCTCTGCTGGAGAATATTCATCGTACACATCATCCCCTGACTTTGACACCAAAACAGTGTCAGTAAGCTTGGGAGTCGATCGGGGGGAAAGCCGGACTGTCACCCTAGTGGCAGCGTATGGTGGCAACTATGGTGACAGCATAGTGGTCGCTCCCACCATAGTGGCAGCATTGTGGCCGCTTGGCCACAGTGTTGTGACCGCTGCTAGCAGAGACTGCCACCATAGTTGCCGTTGCCACTATGGTGGCAGTCTCCGCTGGCGCCGCTGCCACTATGGTGGCAGCATAGTCGCTGATGCCACTATGGTGGCAGTACAGTTGCTGCTGCCACTATGGTGGCAGCATGATTGCCACTGCCACTATGGTGGCAGTTTCTGCTGGCGCCGCTCAAGGTGAAGTTGATACTTCAACTTTTACCAGTGTGTTTAAACTGCACTATCTATACTTCTACTTAAGTAACAAATGTGGGCACTTTTGACACCACTGTTCCACATTCGTCAGAGCCAGTAATGCTTTAAACATTGATAAACAGCATCTAGTGTGTGTAGTGCTTATAAGATTTGTATTAATGTAGCAAGAAATGCTGCTATTCTCTTTAAACTCACATTAAGCATAAAAAAGAGCATGCATATTTTTGCATGGGACCAATGACTTCAGATCAATGAAGCTTAAGACTAATAATGTCCCTACCAAAGTTGAAATCAAAACTACGCCCTTGCCCAAAGCCATAGCTTAGTTGAACCATCCATCGCACCTGCTCTTAGCAGTAATGATTTTATAGGATCCTAGGAGGATAAATAAGGATCCTTTATAGGATCCTTTATAGGATAAATAAGATTAATCTTATTAATAATAAGATAATTAGCACTCATCTATCTACGATTGAGTTATTTCTCGAAGACGAGACAGCAATGGTAGCCATAGAATCTGAACCGGGTTTAGACTGCTTTGATCCATATGAACTTTCAAAGTTAGCAAAACTATTGTCTTCATCTAAGCCTTCAACATTTATGTTAGATTATGTTATGTTATTTAAGGAGGTATTCCCTTTGATCTCCTCTTAAATGGGATTAATCGATTTCTGTTACAGGGATATGTACCAAAGGCTTTTAAGGTTGCTGTAAGTCTCCTGACCCAGATAACTTGGTAAATTATAGACCTATATCCAATCTTCCTTTCTTATCTAAAATTCTTGAGAAAGTAATTGCCAAACAAGAGTGCGACCACTTCCACCATAATGAACTTTTTGAAGAGTTTCAATCTGGCTTTAGAGCTCATCATAGCACTGAAACAGGTGAAAGTTGCTAATGATATTCTCCTGGCCTCAGATAATGGACTTGTATCTGTACATGTATCTCAGTGCTTCATTTGATACAGTTGATCATAATAGACTTGAATATTTTGTAGGAATTAAAGGAACCGCACTAGACTCACTTTAAATCTTATCTATCTGATCAATTTCAGTTTTTTCACGTTAATGTCAAATCTTCCTTGTCATGTTGGCTTTCAGGGATCTAACCCACATGCAGAACACTCAGAGGCTGGGAAAAAGTTCACAAGTTTATTGAAGAAATATTCACAAATAAAGAACACTGGTTCTGGGATAAACTGGGTCTGGGTCTGGTCACGACTGGTTTTCACTGCAGAGAGGGACAGATTGGTTAGCAGTCTTTCAGTGACCTTGCTGGTTGGGTGTTTGCAGGTCTATACCTGATCAGAGATGAGCAGAGCGGTAGAAGGGGGGAACCAGAAGGGTCCAGAGGCTGAAGGCAGGCAGAGGGCTAGGCAGAGGCAGGGCAGAGCAGATAATCTTACTCAGCAGGTTCAGAGCTTCTCTCTCAGTTCTTGCTGAGAGCCGGCAGGCAGGTTTCAGACTGAGTTGGATTTCCAGGGTTCTACTGAAAACAGACAGCTTGGTCTCACGTTTGAGAAACCCTTCCAGGTCTTCAGGTTTCCAGGCAGGTTCTTCCTGAGAAGCAGAGAGGACAAAAAGCAGATTAGGTTCAGGTTCAGGCTTCAGGGGAGTCAGAGATTCAGACAGGCAGGTTGGCTCAGGCTTGCTAACCATAACTGGCAAACACTCTGGCATCGGATTGTGGATCTGCCCCTCCTTAAATGCTGGTCCCCTGATGAGCTCATGAGCTGCGGGTGTGGTAGTCAGCTTCAGCCCCAGGAGACCTAGAACGCCCTCTGCTGGAGAAAGGTGGACAGACCTCCAGATCCCAACATTCCTTATGCTCAAGGGTTACCTGTGTAGTACCACATGGATCAGTGCTAGGATAAATTCTGTTTGCTATATATATATATATATATATATATATATATATATATATATATATATATATATATATATAT